CCCAGAATCTGCACGTCCGTCAAGGCTGTGCTGATTCCAGGGGTTCAAAGTGCACACTATGAAACACACCCACCAGGAAAAGCTAAAAGAAAAAGGAATCAAAATGCTCCTCATAGCTCTGGAAGAAATGACTGATGTGACCCAAAATCACACAGAGGGAGAACTGACCTAACAGATAGCATACCAATTTAAAGCTTTTGTAAATTAAAATAAATGTCATAGCCATGAGGTCCTGCATGAAAACTACTTTCAGCCAATGGCGAATGTTTTATTAACAAGCCACGCAAACTAATGGGCAAGAACAAATGAGACCGCCACAGAAAGACAATTCCAAAAAGAGGGACTACAATGTCTAATAAACAAACTGAAGACTTACCAAGGAAAACAGTAGCAAGGCCACATACATAAATATAATTTCGGGGGGGGGGGGGGGGTAATATTCAAACCTGGTAAGATTTTGTGATACTTTCAAATATGCCAGTTACATTTTAAATCTGCTCTAACCATTCTGAAGCATCATTTGGCAATATACATCAGAGGCTATAAAAACATGCAAACCCTTTGACAGAGAATGCTTCTTTTTAATCACTGAGTGTAAGGAAACCATCTCGAGTACAGAAAAGATTAGATCTTATGAAGGCTATCAATAATTGGAAATTTACCAGGAAGCCTGGGTGGCTCAGTCAGTTAAGTGTCTGCCTTTGGCTCAGGTCATCATCTCAGGGTCCTGGGATAGAGCCCCGCATCGGGCTCCCAACTTAGTGGGGAAGCCTGCTCTTCCCTCTGCCGCTCCCCCTGCTTGTGCTCTCTTACTCTTACTCTCTCTCTCTCTCTCTCAAATAAATATCTTTAAAAAATGATTGGAAATGAACCATGTGATGCAAACAATCTCCGTTAGTTCATAAAGTAACCCTATGAAATTAATACTGTCATTATTCCTATCCTACACATGGAGAACCTGAGACTTAGGAAGACCATGCAATGTGCTCCAAGGACTTAAGATCCAGGAAGAGGTAAAGGCAGGCTCAGGAACATTCTGGCTCTAAAGAACTACACACTGAACTTCTGCATTAGAATTATCACCACGCCGGAACACGGTTAGCACAGAAGCATTTGCTTTACTAAAAAAAGTTCAAGAAAAGAGGGGCATCTGGCTGGCTCAGTCGGTGGAGTAACTGACTGTTAATCTCAGGGTTGCAATTTTGAGCCTTAGGTTGGGTGTGGAGATTGCTTAAAAATAAAATCTTTTTTTTTTCCTTGTGATTATTTTCTTTTCTTTATTTTTTAATAATTTTTAAATTTTTTAATAAACATACAATGTATTATTAGCCCCAGGGGTATAGGTCTATGAATCGCAGGTTTACACACTTCACAGCACTCACCATAGCACATACCCTCCCCAATGTCCATAACCCCACCACCCTCTCCCTACCCCCCTCCCCCCAGCAACCCTCAGTTTGTTTGGCGAGATTAAGAGTCTGTTATGGTTTGTCTCCCTCCTGATCCCATCTTGCTTCATTTATTCTTTTCCTCCCCCCAAACTCCCCATGTTGCATCTCCACTTCCTCATATCAGGGAGATCATATGATAGTTATCCTTCTCCGATTGACTTATTTCGCTAAGCATGATACCCTCTAGTTCTATCCACGTCATTGCAAATGACAAGATTTCATTTCTTTTGATGGCTGCATAGTATTCCATTGTGTATATATACCACATCTTCTTTATCCATATCTGTTGATGGACATCTAGGATCTTTCCATAGTTTGGCTATTGTGGACATTGCTGCTATAAACATTCAGGAGCACTTGGCCCTTCAGATCACTACGTTTGTATCTTTAGGGTAAATACCCAGTAGTGCAATTGCTGGGTTGTAGGGTAGCTCTATTTTCAAATTTTGAGGAACCTCCATGCTGTTTTCCAGAGTGGTTGCACTAGCTTGCATTCCCAGCAACAGTGTAGGAGGGTTCCCCTTTTTCCACATCCTCGCCAGCATCTGTCATTCCCTGACTTGCTAATTTTAGCCTTAAAAATAAAATCTTAAAAAAAAATTTAAGAAACAAAGGAAAAGAGGAATTATATATAGTAGGATAGTAGAAATATGTGTCAGTAACAACGGATAACTTCCCTGACCCAAACTTTTTGCGAAGTTTAGGTTTATAGTCTAAAATTTATTGGAAAGGAAAAACAAAAAACAAAAAACCATCTCTTGAATGTTTTCAACAAATAGAAATAAATCCTAAGAAATGTGTAAACAACTGGGATATTATCTTTGTATTTTAATATCAACAATTATAAAAATCAGGGGGAAGTAATAATCATTTAGAACTTTCCTTAGACGACCACACGAACTGTGAAATGGGTTAACGGTCTTAGTTTCTGCCTCAAAATTAGACTGACAAGAAGCCAGGAGGCACACTTGTCTGCCTCTAGAGTATGGAGAAGAGCTATGTGCCCATTATTCTAAAGATGCAAAGCGCTTGGTAAAGAACTCATGCATCATTTTTGAATTAACATGGGGACACAGGCCAAACACGCTTACCAAGTAAGAAATACAATGTAAAATGTCAGAAAGACCAGGACGCTGACCACACAGCAAATTGCACAGACTGCCGAAAAGGGTGAGTATTTCCGGAAGATTAAATAAGAGATCTGACTGAATGTAAAAGGGAAATATACATATATAAAAATATAACATAAACATATAAAAATATAACACTTAAAACACATCACAAAATTCAAATATGTAAACAGGGGTATCCAAATGGTCATAAAACAGTCAAACTATACAATATTGTGGTAGCAAGCAATAAAACCTGTGTGTTCTGAGCAAATTTTTTTGCTGATTTTCATCCGTAACACAGTTTTCCAGTCAAGGCTACAGATTTCTGCTTTTTTCACATCCTGCCATGATTTATACTTAGCTATCTTCTATAGTCACCTTTAAGCCAGACCACATACAATTGCACTGGGGCAAGGAAAGGAGACATCTGGCAGCTGCTTTCTGTGCTACAATGTAGAAGTAAGTAAACACATAACTACAACTCTGCCTTATGAAGCTATTTTTATCTCTACATCTTTGTCGGGCTGTTTTATTTTTATTTTTATATTTTATGTTTTAATTTAACTTTTTTTTTTCAGTGTTCCAGGACTCATTGTTTATGTACCACACTCAGTGCTCCACGGAATACGTGCCCTCCTTAATACCCACCACCAGGCTGTCAGGATGTTTTAAACATGCAAAATTGAGAAATTTGAGAATTTCTACTCTCAACTCTGGTAGTCCTACTGATATGATTACAGGAATGGCTAAAATTATTAACAGGAACTGCAGAATTTGAGGGAAGAGTCTGAGACAACCTAGAAATTCTTTCTGACTCTGATTTTCTGAGAACTGCCTATCAATCTTGGGCAGAAAATAAAATCCCATTAGAGAGCAGGAGGAAGGACCCTGCAGGGGTGAGTGGCATGGGAGTCTCTCGTGCAGGGTGGGCCTAATTGGCAGTCACCTGCTGTGCAGGGTGTGGAGTTGGTGGAGGAGTATCTGGTGGGGACCACAAGGTTGTGTCAAGGTCATGGTGAGCTGGGAGGTGAGGAAGGGAGACTGCCTTTGACAGGCCTCTCGGTCCATTCTTGGCTCTTGAAAGGCTGAGCAGGGGTTGCGGCTCTGGCTTTAATCTTAGTGTAGGAATTTATTTCATGCAGTACCCTGCGGAAATCTCCCTAGAATCTGTTTCCTTGAAACACAAGCAAGCAAAAACAATCCCTCAAGAAGGCATGAAGACCCAGATTCCAAGTTTGTTCCTCTTTAAGACCCCCGGGTAGGAGTTTTATAAAGGCTAACGGCAACATCTGGTCTAAATCCATATCCACCTGCACTGTTTCTTTTGGAAGCAAAGCTGGATTTAACAAAATTTTAACAGAAAAATGACATGTATAATATCCCTTGCCATCATAAGAGAAAAGTATACAGAGGGAAAGAGTTTCACTAATTTCTCTGTTATATCCTGTTAAAGTTTATACTCAATATTCCACTCTCCTGACTTAAAGAAAAAAAAAGTGGGAAATCTAATTTTTAAAGAAACACTAAGAAACTTTTAATACAGAATAAGCACATTGTCATGTCATTTATGTGCTAACAGTTCCCAGAAACTTTAAGAGGTCTTCAATGAAATTAAAAGAATAGACTATCTTTCTTAACATGTTTACTTAGTATCTTCCCATCTAACTTCTTACCTAATAAAGTGACAGAAGTGAAGAAAATGAATCAGGGCATACATACATGTGCGTGCATACACATACACTTGTATATACGTTCACGAGCTAGGTCCAGTTATCAAGATAATGTCAGCCCCTCAGTAATAATTCCTAACCTGCAAAACATTAAATTTTGGCAGAAAACAAAAAAATATTCACCCTTCTATTCTTTACTCTTTCTCCCCAAACTCAGCCACTCTTCTTGTATTCTTGTGTTTTTTCTCTAAGACTTTTAACGATATGAATCCAAGAACTCGAACACCCATCTTGTCAAGTGGCCTTTACAATGCAAAAGAATGATATGCGTTCTCCTTACACACGTTCACCAAAGAGTCCTTGAATACATGTGCCACATATGTTATCTTTTCCAGGAACATGTAAGTGTCCATCGCTTTTAATGAATTTCTCCCCATACAATCACCATCTGCTTCCTTCTCTCTTTCTTGTAAAGCACGTGAGGTCTACTTGATGGAAAGAGTCAGGTCTGAGTCTGATTCTCTGTGAACCTCTCAAATTCCTGCAAAAGCTTACAACTCCCATCTATTTATGTAAAAGATCTGAACAGAAAACCCACCTCCTCAGGAAGCACACTTTCAGGGGACTAAATAATTGAAAAGAAAACTTAATCCATGATTAAGGAAATCCTACTGTGCCAAGAACTATTCATGCTCTCAGAAAACACAGAAATCAGTTTTAACCTTACAGCATCTACCGTATAAGGAAAAAGGGGGGGAAAATGTTACCTTTTTGTGCAAGGCGTGAAATTCGCTGTACCTTTTTTCAACAAAGTGTTTTCTTCCATTCATTAGCACTTCTATCTTAAACACCTAAGGGAAAAAAAAAAATAAAAAAGATTAATTCCACCCATTCAAAACCCTCAATCGTCTGATGTGGTAAGTTTGTGACCATGATATATTTCATCCCTTTAATTACAGTAGCTGATCCCCCAAAACCCAGAAGGCTCAGGAGACCCTGGGCCAACAGCACTGATTAATGAGTGCTCAGGTCAAATGCTTTAGTTAGTACAACCTGAAATATCGCCTTAACGTGTCTAACAGAAACTGAAACGCGTTCACGGGCTCCTTAACTTTCTAATCAGAGCGCATTCCTCCCTTAAGATTCTTTCACCAAATGGGTATGATGGTATCAAAATAAGGCATTCAGACAAGAATGAGAGCCTGGGAGAAGGGACAGGCCCCAGCATCCCATTACAGGTATGAGGACGATGACGGCCGTGCTGTGTCATCTCTAAGACAATCAGGTAAACGGCAGTGCATTTTAGGTTAATTTCTTCCTAACCTGCATATTCATCTCTAGTCTCAGCTGGGCCTTATTCCGCTGTTTGCAAAACAGGGAAAATGTAGTAAAGGCTCATTTTCCCGGCATGGTACCAGTGACAGCCTGCGCTCCCACATCCAGGAGGTCGAAAGGCCAGAAGAAAAGGCTCTCTGAGTGTGCTAATTAGTAGGCACTAACATGACATTTTCTTGATTCTTGGGTCAGTGGGTCAAGACTGGGAGCAAGGGATGAGAAACATTTTGAAACGCTGATGAAAACACAATGTTCCGCTGGGGTAAGGGCAGGACACTGGGTGAGAATGGAAGAGAAGGTGATCTGTTATTTTCAAGAGGGTGTCTTTGACTCCTGTTTTGCTGAGCCAAGTTGTGGACAACGCCAAGATGATGGATATTGTTCAATGGGTTCGTAAGCCTAATTTCTTGTTTCAGTTGCTCTTCTGGAAAAAACCAGAGTTGAGGTCACAGGACAGCAGAAAGTATTAGAAGCATGCTGACTTTAATTCTAAAGAAAACTTAAGTTAGCTCATGAAACACAAGGGCACACACTGTCATTATGAAAACACATTCCCTATGGCTCTACCTTGCTCCCTGACTCGTATGACTTTTCTTGAAAAGACAAAATTATATCATCAAACGCATAATGTGTTTGTAGATTTGTACTTTTTTGAATCAGAAACGAAATCTTGTGTCGTATGACTCAGCTGAAGAAACCTGCTTTTATTAAAGCAATTGGTAAATACTTACCAGTTCGATCAGTATCTTATACTAACATTTGGTTTTTCAAGAAACCTCCTTAAAAAATACTTTCCTTTGGTCAATTTGTGAAAATACTCTCTTCTAAAAACAGATCCATATGCTTCCAAGTTTCAAATGTATGTCTACTGTTTTTAAGAAAAATATTCTGTTCACTAATTCACCAAAGAAAATTCCTCTACTTCAAAGACGCTGCCAGGAAGAGGGGGAGGGAAACACCCTGAGAAACATGGACACGAGAAGATCAGCTTCAACACACGGGCTTGGTTAATAGGACACAGAGTGCCTTTTTAGTGTCAGGCCCCAGAGTTCAATCAGGACAATGTGGGAGCAGGAGAAGTACTTTCCATCTGCAGAACGGCAGGAAAGAAATGAAGTTATGCTCCGAGTCCAGTTACGGGAGGCGTCATCATAAAACCCACCACTTTAATTGGCACGTTTGCAGCAGAAGCCACAGAAGCAGAAAGCTGAAGACTCGGAAAGGCTCAACCTACCGGGTCACCCTCTTGAAGGCCGGGGATGAGACACATTACACAGCAGCTGCCTCATGGAATGTCATCCCTTCTATCGACCAGATGGCTCCATTACCACGTTCCACAGTTACTCTTCAGTCACTCAGTTTATGGGGGGTGGGGTGGGGGGGCGGTTTGGACACACACACACCACACATGTACCTGCGTGGTACGTTTTCATGCTGATATTTTTATTTTGTTGCTACTTCAAAAAGGTATACCTTATATTGTTCAGACTTCTTTTAAATTTAATATCTTGGGAAGGAAGTTGGTTAATCAGAATTTCCAGGACAAAGTGAAGGAAGAAATGGAACCAATGTAACAAATCTTATTTTCCTGAATTCCACAGCCGTAGTTTCTTTTTGTTGTTGTTGTTGGTTTTGTTTTTGTTTTTCTTTTAGTAAGTTTCTGATACATGTTGTCTCTGCTCCCTGGAAAATCTTTCTCCTGCTTTGTTCTTTTGGCAAACTCTGAGAAGCTATTACCTACCTCTAAGGTAGGGACAGCACAAGAAATGCTGGGAAAGCATGCAGCACAGTATCTGGTATTCATTCATTCATTCATTTGTTCATTTATTTAGCAGATACTTACTGAGGGGCTGCAACGCACTCAGGGGTTGCTCTAGGCTCTGGGGATTCAGCAGTGAACAAAAGAGGCAAGAGCTCAGGTTTCCAGGTGCATCTTTCCCACCTGGTGAGGGAGGCAGACTATAAATATATGAATGAATACAATGAAGTCAGGAAATAAAAAGCCCTGTGGAGAACAAGGCAGCAGGGTAATGACACAGAGCTGAACGAGGGTATTGTTTCAGACAGCATAGTGTCAGAGAAGGTCTCCTCAGACAGAGTGGCAGTCAGAGGTGCAACACCTGGACACCAATGCCCAGAAAAGTTGAATGTAGCTTCCTCTGGAATTTCAGACTGGGAGTGGGTGGACAAGGACTTTTATTTATTTATTTATTTATTTATTTTTAATTTCTGTTTACAGATTTTTTTTGAAAATTAAAGCCTAGAGCAGGGTGATTTCCAAGTCTGGTCAAGATGGTGTTACAGGGAGCAGATTCACTCTCCCACCAGAAACAACTCAAAATATGTGGGAAAGATGTCTCTCAAGACATCAGACATGAGGAAATGAAGAAGAGTGAGAGACAAAAGAAACGAAGTTGAGCCGTATGGTTACGCAATCAGAGCCCTGAGGGGAAGTGAGGGGAAGCCAGTTCCGTGGACAGGGTACTGGGCCAGAGTGAGCTGCACACAGACAGGACTTCAGTGACCTGCCAGAGGTCTTCCTCCAGCATTTTGCTGAACCCTTGTCAACACATGGCATTGGGGAAACTTACCCAAGGACAAGAAGACCTTAGCGAGAAGAGTGCTCAGAGCTTACAGATAACTGGGCATACAGCCTGTTACCAAATGCCAGGGTAGAAAACCTCATAATTCATGAAACATTAGTTAGAGTTCTCAGAAAGGTCTTGCCTCAGTAGTAGGACAAAATTAACAGTAGACTAACAGCTCTTCAATTCATTCCTCCTTGGAGGTTCTGTCCCCTAGATGGGCTTCTGAGGAGCATAAGACACCTGGCAAGGCCAGGGCTCATGGTATCATGAGGTCTTTATTCTTAAATCTTTGGAGGCTATGCCCCTTTCAATGGAACCAGACCAATAATCTCTATAAAAAGCATACAACTCTGTAGAGTAGAAGGATACTTTTTTATATTACCTCCTCCTGTCAGGATCTGTGCCCACACTGCCCCCTCAATCTCCTTATAATGTGGTTCCAAATGTTAGCTTGTATGGCTTTCACTTAAAAAAAAAGAAAATAGTATGTACTTATCAAAAAAGGTTTCAAAAATTCCAAAGACTGTAAACTTAAAAGTTTAAGTTTCTTACATAAGAGACTTGCGTAGTCCGTGCCAACTCAAGAGGGATCTTAAGAATTCTTTCACAAATTGTCCCCAGACATATAAGCTCTGTATGTACACATGTATACAGAAGTTGTTGCTTTCTTACACTAACTGTAGCCATATCATAGGGTCCTACTACCTCACTTCTATGAATTTTTTTTACCTTATTTATTTAGTACATGTTGAACATCTTATCAGCACATTTTGCAATGCCTAATTCTTTAATGGCTACCTAGTACTCCTATATATACTTGTTACCAAACTTTAATTAATTAGGACCCTAAGGTAGATATGAAGTCACTGTACTATTTTGTACCATACACACTCAAGTATATATGGATGTTTATATAGTTGATGCATGAACAACATGGGGGTTAGGGGCACCAACCCCCCATGCAATCGAAAACCCATGTATAACTTTTGAAGCCCCCAAAACTTGGCTACCAATAGCCTACAGTTGACTGAAAGCCTTCCTGTTAACATAAACAGTTGATTAACATTATTTATATGTTACATGTATTGTATACTGTATTCTTACGATAAAGCTAGAGAAAAGAATATGTTAAGAAAATCATAAAGAATACATTTAGAGTACTGTACTATACTTATTGAAAAAAAAATCCACATAAAAGTAGACCCACACAGTTCAAACCCACACTGTTCAATGGCCAACTGTATATGTTTATGTATTTTATTTATATATAAATATAGACGTAATCCTTGTTTCTGTACACATACTTACATACACACACACACACACACACACACACACACACACACACAGGATAAATTACCAAAAACTTTGCCAATTTACCATCCCCCCAATCCACAAAGTTACACAACAGCTAACAGGATATGGAATGTCTGGCCCATCCTAACCAACACTGGCTATTGGTCACTTTGGCAAGCTGGTGAGTGAAATGAGAATTAATTGGATGTGTTTTAACCAGTGTGTATAGTGGCATAAGTTTCCATTCCAACTATCTCACATAAAATCACACAAAGGTCCTACCTCCCTGTCTAACCCTCTATTCTTGGAGATATCCTTGTCCTCAAAGACTTCCAGAAATCCCTCTGGATAAAGCAAGGAAGGCTTCATGTAACTAAAAAAACATATTAAGATTTCCATTTAGGTTTGCTTAAAAAAAACAACAACAACACATACACAAATGATATTGTTCAGGTGACTAAATTCTAGACACAGTCCTGGGAACATTATTAAGTCATTACATTTTAGTTGAAAAGGAAAATAGATACGTTAAAGACAAGATTTCCATTCCTAATTGTAGTTTTCATTAAACGTTAGAGCCAGTTTTTTTTTTTTTTTTCCCTTTGTGATAGTATCTCTGCGATCTGGAAGTC